CACACACACACACACACACACACACACACACACACACACACACACACAAGTTCGTATGTGGAAACAACTTTGCAAACATGCAAAAGCCAAGAAATGTAAACGCTCTCGGTTGCTATAGTAGTGAAGGCAGGAGCCGGTCAGGCGCGAGGTGTGGGATGGTGCCGTGTTTATAACAGAAGGAGGGGAAGAGCAAGAGCCGGGGCAGGCGTGCGGAGCAATCAGCTATCACCAGGAATCCAGCAACCCGGCACGCCGGCCCGTGCCGCAAGCCTCTGTCAGTGTTGCCTGGCAACCAGTTTCTTCCCCCCCCCCCACTCAAGCCGACCGCAGGGCCTTCCGATCCAAGCGGGGGTAGGAAGTCGAAGACGGCGGGACAGGCCGGGCGCTCACAGCACACACTGGGCGCTCACAGCACACACTGGGCGCTCACAGCACACACTGGGCGCTCACAGCACACACTGGGCTCTCTCTTGTCCCGTTCCGGACGACCCACCACTGCTTCCGACGTGGCTGCCCAGGGGTGCTTAAAATGTCCACACAAAAGATTCAGATGAAGAGCATTCATCTGAACGGCATGCCCCCCCCCAGTTCAAAACTACGCATTTTTCCAGACTTTTCATGCTGAATGGAAGGATGTGTCTTGTGTGGCCCCAGGCCCCCATGCTAAGTAAACGGGCCGGGTTCTCATACGAAACCTCAGCTGAATTTTGGGTCTTTACCAACTCATTTACAGATCTTCCCCAGACATGTGCCTGGGAACAGAGGCACGTCCAACACAATAATGAGTCAGAGAGGCAGCAGAGCTCTACAGGGCGACTTAGAGTCAAGCAAGAGTGTGCGGTAACTCGGGTGAAGTGAAAAGCGCGTTTTGGCAGAGTGGAGCTGAGCACCTGACCATCTATGGATAAAGTAATAAAGTCAGGGGCTCAGACACTGGCTAAAGTAAAGAAAGAAGTAAATACAGACACAGGGACCAATGCTACTAACTTTAAGGTCATTTTAAAAATCCCGAAAGATGAGCCAATGAACCTTTACTAAACAGATAAACCAAATCCTGTCAGGAGCACTCGCTGTAGAGAACACCAATATAAACAAAGAACACAGGTGAACTTCTGGCCTGTATGCCAATAAGACATTTCAATATATCAGTTAGTCTGAACACAGAGCCCTGTGAGGGTTTCCACAGGACAGCCATGCAATCTGAGTGGAATAAAATGAGATAAGGATACTCTTAGAGCATAATTAAAAGAAAGGACAAGAACTTTTCTAAGCCCGCTGAATCCAAGACTGCTTTGCAAACAACACGAATAGGCACCAAAAAACAGTGCTGTTATTATCTGTACATCATTATCTGCTACAAAAAAAGTGTGGCCAAAGTTCAATGCAAAAAGAGAGTGGAAAAGAGCTAAACACAAAGCTGGTCAATGGCTGTCATGGGACAGTATTTGGACAAAACAGCAGGACTCTATGGGGTTAATGTGCGCCTTCAGACTAATGAACCTCCCCAGTCCCAAGCATGAAGACAGTGAGCATTCTGTATGCGGGCTTTTAGATGCAGGGGGGCGGGGAGAAGCACAGCGGCTCCTCTCATGTTCATGCTGTACTTCTGGAAACAATCCAGCTGATGTTTTTATGTAGTTCAGTTTGTTTGATGAA